TGGCAACATATGCTGTTCTGATAATACCTTATTGAATTTTTTCTCTAATAAAATGGCAATCTATCTCTATGTGTTTTATTCTTTCATGATACATGGGATTGGCTGCAATTTGCAATGCTGCCTTGTTATCACAGTGTAGCTCCATAGGTGATATTAGATTCACTTGTAGCTCTTCCAACAGTCCCTTTAACCAAACTAGTTCAGCTACTGTGCTTGCCATGCTCCTGTACTCTGCTTCTGCAGAGCTTCTTGAGATGGTGTTCTGCTTCTTTGCCTTCCAAGAGATGAGTGAACTTTCCAATATTATACAATACCCTGTCACTGACTTTCTTGACATAGGACATGAGGCCCAATCTGAGTCACAAAATGCATGTATCTGCTCTCCAATCTTACTGGACATAAGTAATCCCAACCCGGCTGCTTCTTAACATATCTTACAACATGTAATGCTGCTTCATAGTGTGACCTTTTTGGTGCATGCATGAACTGACTAAGGCACTGGACTGCATATGAGATGTCTGGTCTGGTAATTGTGAGGTATAGTAGCTTCCCTATGAGGCTCTGATAACTCTCCCTATCTACTAATGCCTCATCATGGTTGCCTGTTTTAGTGCACTTAACAAACTCCACACTTGTGAGTTTTAGATTTTGTTCCATAGGTGTGTCTTTTGGTTTTGACCCTGCTAAGCCAGTTTCTGAAATCATCTCAAGTGCATATTTCCTTTGTGACATAAGTATCCCTTCCTTTGACATAGCAAACTCAATTCCTAGCAAGTATCTTAGTTCTCCCAAGTCCTTTAGTTTGAAATTCTGTCGAAGTAAAGTTTTAGCCTGGTTGATTTCCTCTAAATCACTTCCTGTTACCAAGATGTCATCCACATATACAAGCACTAGAACAAATTTATTGTTGACAAGTCTAGTGAATAGAGAATAGTCATGTTTGCTTTGTTGAAAACCAGCAGTTGTAAGGGCTTGTGTGAGTTTAAGGTTCCATTGTCTTGAATCTTGCTTCAACCCATAGAGGTATTTGAGTAGTCTGCACACTTTAGACTCCCCCTGAGTACTAAATCCCTGGGGTAGTGTCATGTAGGCCTCCTCATCAAGATCCCCATTAAGGAATGCATTGTGCACATCCATCTGGAAAATAGGCCAATACTTCAGTGCAACAGTGGCTACAACAGCCCTGACAGTAGTAAGTTTGGCTACAGGGGAGAAGGTATCATGAAAGTCTAGGCCTTCTTGCTGTGTATACCCCTTAGCAACTAGTCGAGCTTTAAACCTCTCCACTGACCCATCAGCATTATACTTAATCTTATATATCCACTTGCAACCAATTGGAACTTTCCCAGTAGGTAAATTCACAACCTCCTAAGTATGATTATCCTCTAGAGCCTTAATCTCAAGTTTCATTACTTGAACCCATCTATCATCCTTGGATGCTTGTGAGAAGGTGGAAGGTTCAGTATCAGGAGAAAAAGAGGCAAGAAAGGATTGATAATGTGGGTGCAAATGAGTATAGGAAACACAGTGATGGATAGGATAGTTGATACAATTGGAAGTAGAAGGTAATGGAGGATGGACATAATCTGTCAACCAAATAGAAGGCTTGGATGTTTTGTCCGACCTTCTAAGGGGGCCAACATTAGATGGAGGAAGAGATGAAGGAGTAGGAATATAATTGGATGTATCAGCAGGAACTACTGGAGATGATGCAGAGGGATCGGTATATTGATCAGGTGAACACGGTATAATAGGGTGAGATGAGAGGTCAGGTTGAAGGGGTGAAGAAGCAGGTGAAGTTGTATCAGGGAAGTCTATGGATGATGAGTAGTTTAAATCTGGGGCTACAAAAAATTTACTTTTAGGAAATGTGAAAGGAAAGATATTTTCATGGAATATCACATCTCTACTGAGGAAAAACTTACTGGCTTCAATATCATATAGTCTGTAGCCTTTTTGTGTAGATGAATATCCCATGAAGATTGTAGGTATAGATTTAGGAGTAAACTTGTCACTAAAATTAGGCTTTGTGGCATAACAAAGGCATCCAAAAGTTCTCATATGGTCAAGCTTGGGTGGCTGACCATGAAATAATTTATAGGGTGAATGACCCTTTAAGGTTGGACTGGGCAATCTATTTATGATGTATGTTGCTGTCAGAATACAATCCCCCCAGAATCTTAATGGTACGTGGGCTTGAAATCTTAATGCTCTTCCTATTTTAAGAATGTGTATGTGTTTTCTTTCTACCACCCCATTTTGTTGTGGGGTGTGAACACAACTGCTTTAATGGACTATGCCTTTAGATCTAAATAGATCAGAACATAGAGAATTGAAAAATTCATGTCCATTATCAGATCTAAGGACTTTAACAGAAGCAGAAAATTGATTGTGAACTAATTGAAGGAAATCAAGTAAGACAACATAGACATCACTTTTCAGTCTCAAGAGAAATGTCCAGGTCATCCTGGAGTAATCATCAACAAGAGTAAGGAAGTATTTAAAATCATTGTAAGTAGACACTCTATATGGACCCCAAACATCCATATGTACAAGACTAAATGGGGAATTTGATCTGGTTACACTAGTAGAAAATGGTAGTCTAACTTATTTAGCTAATGGACATACAGAACAAGTATTAGGTGTTGATTTGGATACAAGATCCTTTATTGAGGGTATTTTCTATAATACTGCAACTGGAGCATGACCAAGTCTTTGATGCCACAAATCATCAGAATGATGTTGGACTGAAGAAGCTATATGATTTGAAGGAATAGCAGTAGAAGGAGTAGCAACATGTGAATGGATTGAGGATATATAGCCACCCCAGAGTCTACCAATCCCCTTCACCATGCCACTGAAGAGATCCTGAAAGAGGCAGAAATCAGGATAGAAATTAACTGAGCATAGTAGTTCTCTTATGTATTTAGAAATAGAGAGAAGGTTGTACTTAAAATCAGGCACATATAGCACATTTTGTATAGTTTGTGTAGGGAGAATAGAACAGGACCCAGTGTGAGTGATCTTAGTGCTGTTTCTATTTGGTAATTGCACATAGTTAGGTTGATTATTTGGCACACTCTTAGGATTTAATAACAGGTTCATGGATGAAGCCATATGATTTGAGGCTCCAGAGTCAATAATACAGTAGCCTTGAGAAGCATTAGATATACCTGCCATGTTTGCTGTTTCAGTTGGTTCAGGTTCCTTGCTTAGCAACTTCAGAATCTGTTGGTATTGTTCAGCAGTGAATACTGGCACAGTTGGTGTAGCTATTTTCTTCAGATTTTCAAAGTGCATTTCCCTTTTATCATTCATATTCACGTTATGAGCCGTAGGCATTTGATTCTGGTTCTCAAAACCACCTCTTCTTCTATTGTCAAATCTAGAATTGGATGGATATCCAACTAGTTTGTAGCAATTCTCTCTCTTGTGGCCCTTCATGTGGCAATAGTCACAGTATAGATTATTGTTACGCTTAGGCCTAATGTTAGTTGCATTTGCTGCAGCCAATGTACTACTGTTACCTTCCACAGGTCCACTCCCTAAAATACCACTCTGTGACATCAAATTCCCACTCATTCTTTGAGTCACTTCCTGTATGAGCATAGAATATGCTTGATCAAGTGTGGGAGTGGAGTTCATTATCAAAATCTGACTCCTTTGAGGTGCATAGGTATCATTCAGTCCCATCAAAAATTTCATTAGCTTCTGTTGGTGTAAGAACTCAACAAACAACCTAGATCTCGCACAATCACAACCAGGATAGGGTATAATTGACTCAAATTCAGCCCACAAATCATTCAATTTTGAGTAATATATCGATACACTGGAGATACCTTGCATTAGATTACCTATTTCTGTGTTCATATGATAGATTTTTGTTGCATTCACCTTATCAAAACGTTCCTTGAAGGCTTCCCATACCTTTTGTGCATTTGATGAATACACTTTTCCTTTCCTCAGCTCTTGTGCTACAGAGCTCATTATCCACGACTGGACAATGGCATTGCATCTCTCCCACTGATGCAATCGAAAGCTATCTGCTACGTAAGTCTCTCTAGCACACGATCCATCTATAAATCCAATTTTATTCTTCACGAGCAGAGACATCTTCATCGATCTACTCTACTCCGAGTAGTTCTCCGTTCCAATCAGCAATTGTGGCACCAGCGCCACACCTGGCGTGTCTGACAGATGCACATAGAGTGGATCGTTACAATCGAGTTGTTGAGAACTTGCATGTGAAGTTCCAATCACGTTTTGAGGTGTATCGACTGACATTTTTGGTTTTAGTGAAGAATTTATTAAAGATGAGAGTTAATTGAAAAATTAGGGAAAAATTGAATCCGAGAAGAGGAAAAATCAGATCTGAGCTTCTATATGACTGTCGATATCGATCGTTGTGAGCCTAGCTCTGATACCATGTTAAATTGAATGTATCGGCAGCCATTGATGCCATTGAAGCTCGTCTATGGAGAAAGTAAGAAAAGAAAGCTGAGAGGAAGAAGAAGAGTATATAGGCAGAGTCGAGAGATAGTTTTAGGAAATTTTTCTTTTTCTATTTCTTCTAACTGAAATGTACAATACTAATACAATATATACATATCCATATGTCAAATTACCGACTCCTATTATGCTAGCAATCCAACCTCTTTACTAACTAATTACTCTTCTAGAAGAGTACCACTATAATTACATGATGTACAATTATGTATTTCAACATGTACAATTCTAAGAAGAAACTACTACTCATCTATTCCAAGATGACTACCAAGCTTCAGTTATTCCTTTTATCCTACCAGTTATACAGTGGAATTCCAAAAGGACTGTCCAGCTTTCTCACACAAAGCTGAAGAAGAAGTACCATTCTCCAATAACTACGATCAACAATAACAACAATCCAGTATAATCCCACTAGTGGGGTTTGGGGAGGGTAGTGTGTATGTAGACCTTACCCCTACCTTGGGGTAGAGAGGCTGTTTCCGATAGACCCTTGGCTCCCTTCCTCCAAGAACTCCCACCTTGTTCCTGGTAATTTATTATCACTTGTGTAGAACTAATACTCATTTTCTGTGCTTGACTGTGCTCCGTTCTTCAAGCTAGCCTCTTCAGCAGTAGTGCTTGAATTCTTTTCAACGAGCTCTTGAAACATGGAGGATCGAAGCAAAAGGCTTAGAGCAGTAGATGAGGATGACTTCTTGGAATGACTTAATAAGGGCATTTTTCTTTCAATAGGTTCCTGGCTTCGTGGTATAGCTGACAATTTTTCACTACTGGTGGTGAAATAACTGGGGTCAGACGAGAACTGAGAGTCGTTTACCGGGTTAGTGATCATATCATTAGTGTTGTTAGTTTGTATAGGCTGATATTCTGATATTAAATCTTGGAATTGCATTTGAGAAATAGCATCTGGTTTTAGCCATCTAATGTATGTGCTCAAGTCGAAGTTGACTGCGTTAGTTCCTCTGTACTCAATTGCTGCAATATCATAAGCTCGAGCTGCCTCCTCTTGAGTACCTATTGAAAATAAACACAAGGATTCTGAGGGTCAGAATCCCACTTGAATGCAATCTTGATTTGAAAAAAGATTGAAGGGGCTGAAAGTACTTACTGTAAGTACCCAAGTATAGATATTTGTTGCCAAAAACTCGTCCGATTCTTGCTTCCCATCTGTTATTGTGATGATGCCTGAAAGTTAGATAAATACAATGAATCTTTTGTTAATTATGAAACAAAAAGGTAGTAATAAAGGACAGGAATATCGAAAAGGTGCAATGAGTTTATATACCTTGCAACTCCTCTGTACTTAGATACACCTCTGGCAAAACCACTGCTTCTTCTGTACAAAAAGAACAAGATTTGGTTACTGAGGATAAAGATTTCTTAAATCTGAGAAGGAAAAACTGGTGCCTGTTAAGTATATGTTACCTTCTTAAAGAGGCTAAATGCTCCTCCTTTGTCAAATTTTGCATGATCTCTATTTCTTTCTCATAATCAGATATCTGCAGATTAAGAAGAATTGGAACAATATGTTTCAAACAAACTGCATAATCCCAAAGCAGAAATGAAAGAAAGCAATAAATATACAGGTGATTATCATACCGGAAAATTGGTGAAAGTTGAAGTACCCCAATACTTGATTGCAGCCAAATCATAAGCTCTTGTTGCAGCTTCTTCTTCGTCATATGCTCCTGTTCATATTATTAGTACAATAAGCTGCAAGCGTAGCATATGACACAAAAAAAATTTCTTTTTTAGCAGCAGTTATTAGTACCAAGATAGACTTGCTTCCCCTTCTTTTTCTGAGTTGGATTCCAAGAAGCCTTATCCCACAAATGAGCTTCATATCGCCCTGTCCATCGATGCCTACAATCCAAATAGTATTATATTAGCTTCTAAATCAACCACACTAGATAAAAGGAGAAAAAAGAAAATTATGGTATTTGAACATGTTACAGTACGTAGTACCTGCTAACACCTCTGAATCTTGAACTTCTCTTCACAGTAGGAGTTTGAACAATATTTTGATTAGCTTTTGGTGAGTCCAATTGTTGGCCAATATTGTTATCATTCACCACAACTGCAGGAGGAGATCTTCGTCGCCTTTTAACACATTTATTAACTGGAATGTCATAATCTACCATACACAAGCTTCTTCTCTCAGTTTTTACACTTGTATTCATCTCTATAGTATTGTTTCAAGATTGTACAATGAAGAGTAGTTTATTCTCTAGCTTTTGCTTTGATTTGATGTCTTTTTGTACTGGAGATTATCTCTACTTATATACACTCAAAAACTTTTGTCGTTTACTTTGATACCGATGATTTCATTGTCACAAATTTAGATTGCTATATATAACTTCTAAGATTCGAAAATGTAAATAAATTATCAAACTCGCTTTCTCCACGTAGAGAGCTTTTATCTATTATTCCGCTTCTTGACTTGGGAAAGAAAAAAAAAATCCGACACAAAAACTCGGAATGGCTTTGATAGCGCCTAACCCGTTTGCTAGGCAAGCCAACACACAACAATTACAAAACCAGATTATTAAGTCATTATTAGAGTTATGAGGTAAATAATAAAGCAGAATAAGTCTCAAATCAATATCATAAATACATAAGTCTAAGACAGGATCTAAACACGATCACAAATGTCTCAACAACTCCCAATATCTGGTGTCGCATCACCACGAGCATCTATCAAAAGTAAATAGCTTCAACTGAATAACAACATTTGTTCCGAAAAGGAAATAAATAGACGGAGATAGATAAGTAGGAAAGGGGTACTCCATGTGCTGCGGGCCGGATCAAGTAAATCAGCTTACCACGAAATTTCCAAATGTACTCCTACTCTACTGGACTAGTACTAGCCGCAGACCCTGCATAAAAACCACGGTACTCAATAATTATCACATCTAGCCTCAAAGAAGTAGTGGCAAATGGTTGGTACTAACACTTACTAACAGTCTAAATGTCAAGTGAGAGCATAAACAAGATACAAAATAAGATATGACATCTCCAAATAAGTACAAAAGAATAAGATACAGTAAATATGGAATTTAGACATGCTTGGTAGATAAAGAGATCAAATACGAACTCAACTATCTCAATTCTTACATATAACATGATGTGCATCAATCCAAAGTTATATAAGAGCTACTGCATGAATCTAAGATATAAATGCATGCTCAAAATTCACTCTCAGTACCTCCCAACACAATCCATATGCCTGACACAGTTCACGTGTCCAAACCTAGCACAAGTTTGAGTGCCTGCACTCACTGGGCCTAAAGTAACATGGGTAATCACCGGACTCCGAAGGGACAGATCCACATCTAAGCATTATTGCAACGTGCAACCCGATCCAATCATAATATCGTGCATGAAATAATACAAGTAAGAAGCACCATGACATAATAATAAAATACAGATAAAAGCTCGCATGGATAAAAAATGGCTATGGATAATCACGTGATTCAATTTATCATAACAATTCAATATGATTATTCAATATTCATAAGTCTAACCATGATATCTAACATGAGCAAAATTAAGCTAAGTAGCCACTAGATCCTAAGTTAAAAAACAAGAGTATCACATAGTCATAGAATCACTGAAACATGGATATATAAGTCACACAGTCCAAATAAGTTATACTACCAGCCTAATTCTACCCGAACATGGTCATAACCTAGCTAACGCATAGACGCTCGTCACCTCACATATATGTAACTCCCAAATCAAGCAACAAGTAGCAAATAGATCACCTACGGAAAAAATTCCCTCTTACACAAGAGACTTACTTCTTCCTAAAAGTACCTTCAACCTACAAAAATCGCTTTCCCTTCCAAATCCACTACCAAACGACTTGAATCTAACCAAATATTACTTAAATGAATCAATACAAGCTTTAGGAATTGATTTCATATGGAAAAGATTCAATCTTTAATCCAACTTAAAAAGCCAATAAAAGTTCATACCAAAAACCTCAATTTCTACACTTCAAATCCTTAACCTTAGAACCTCGGGACCCAGGCCCGAAAATTCGTAATTGATCATAGATATAGATTATCTATAACCCCACGATTCCAAATATATGATGGATTCTATATCGGGTTCCAATTTCATGCTCAAAGCCCCCAAATTCACTCACTTAAGTTCATACCAAAACCCCATTTTCTACACTTTAAATCCTTAATTTAGGGATTAAAATCCATGTAAATTCTTGAAATATAATCACAAATCAGTAAATCACTTACCATCTTGCCTTGGGTGAAAGACTTCTTACAAAGTCGCCCCTTTTGAAATCTAGGGTTTAAAATATGAGAGAATAGGCAAACATCCTGAAATTCACACTTTAAAAACTGCCTAGGGATCCTTCATAACGATCGTGATCGCGGAGCACAGCTGCCCATTACTCTAGGCGGTCGTGACTCCCCTTCAGCGATTGCGAAAGTTTTCTGCCGCCCCTCAACTAACCCTTTGTGAATGCGATCCCTGATCCACGTCTAATCCACACTCAATAGTGAGTGGAGATGGTCATTAGAAGAATAGTACCCAACAAGGGTCAGGGTCTATTTTCACAGGGAGTTTAATATTGGTATTAGGGTGTACACTTGATGAGAGCAAATGAAATAACTCAATTGCGCTTCCAAACAAGGGATTTTGTTTTCTACTTCTAAATTAATGTTAACAATTATAAACTAATAAGAAGAAACTAGAAAGTGAGTGATTGTTTTTGTTGTTTTTATCAAATGGGTAAAAGGCCTAGGGATGTGACCTTCACATAGGTGTTCGCCTAATGGGTTAAGTACGTTAACACTTGTTTAATTGATCGGGGTGTATTATAGCTCTCAACTCTAAGTTACCCACTCAAGACCTCTCGGTCATATAGCGATTTTGCCCAATTTGGCTTTCTCAAGTCGGGTTTTCCTTATCTCTAATTAAAACCCTTTAATTAAGCTAGTCAAATCCTTAACTAGCCTAATTTCTTGTTAGCTAAGTTTTCCTAGACTAGGTCCCTCCTTCTCAAGTAAAGACCAAGTCAAAAAAGCATGAATCAATATTTGCAACCATTAATTCTAAAATTAAAGCATAACAAAGGCTAAATAATCAACACCCAATCATAAATAAGTATTAAATTAAATACCCATAAGGTTTACACATTATAGTTGGGTCACAACCTGTAACGACCCGGCCGGTCGTTTTGAGTATTATAACCTCGTTCCATCATATACTGCTCAAGTTATTCTTTACAGTTATTTTATGACTTACCGAGTTAGTTGGTTCGGGTTCAGAAAGATTTCAGAGTAAAATGAGATACTTAGTCTCATAATTGAAGAGATAAGAAGCTCTCTCTAGGCTACAGTTTAGTGAGTTGTTAATTAAGGTCTTGTAAATTAATTCATGGCTAATTATGGAAAGTGCAATGAGCACTTTCATTATATTGTCTATAATAGCTGCAATAAAGACTATAAAGATGTGTATTACGACATGTCTAATAAATGAGAATTGATTGGTCAAACTAGACCTTGCATATGTGACTAAAAAGTGTCCAGAATATTGATTAATATAGTGGTAAGTGGACAACCACGTTTAAAACTCTTAAAGTAAGATTTTGAGCAGCAATTTGAGAGGTACATAAGAGAAGTATATTTATAACAATTAGTGGGTAAAGCCCCACTTGTGTGAAGCCAGTCACAATGGCTATGTATAGCAGCAAAAGAAAGCAGAGATGCTCTATCCATTGTAGTAAAGTGAAGATGGGAGTTCAGATGGTTTCACCAAGGATATTAATTGCTTGGTTCCTCCTTAAAAGTCAAGGAATTAAGTGATCTACTATCCATTCATCTAAATAGCTTCAAAAAGATTTGGTTAGCTGCTCCAAAACTCATTGTGCAGCAAGTAAGGGGTAAAACAAATTGCATTTGGAGGAAGGCACGACCACTACTATAGATGAACTACCAAGAAATTGCTAGAATCTTCAAGAACACTATAAAGAGGAAAACTTGAGGTAAGTCACTTGTGATCATTTCAACTCTATAATACTGAATTATCATCGAATAATCCGACTAGATTACATGTTTTTGAGGTGTAAATCCGGTGTTTGAACTTAGGGATTTGAAAATAAGATTTGAGGTTTTGGGGGTCGAGTTGAAGTCGAATTTTGATAAAATTAGTATGGTTAGATTCGTGGTTGAATGGGCTTTCGGATTTTGTAACTTTCATCGTGTTCCGAGATGTGGGCCCTACAAGCATTTTTGAGCTAAAATTCTGATTTTTATGGGAAAATTATATTTTCATATGGAATTAATTCCAATAAATTTTATTGAGTGAAACGCATTATTTGTGGCTAGATTCAAGGCGTTTGGAGGCTAATTCACGAGGCAAGGGCTTAGAGGAATAAAAATTTTATGGTTTGAGGTAAGTAACAGCTTTAAATCTGGTTCTGAGGGTATGAAACCCCGAAATTTGGTATCATGTGATTACTTTGGAGGTGACGTACACACTAGGTGAACGGTGTGTGGGCGTGCACCGAGGGAATTGTGACTTGATCCGCCCCGTGAGACTGTAAAGTTGAATAACTTGTTGTTAGCTATGTGCTCTTTATGTGCTGTGAAAATTTGACTAGAAACCGTGTTTAGGCTATATGTTGGTACTGTTGGGACCCACAGAGGTAGTGTACATGTTGAACTATTTGCTTAATTGTCGTTTGTACTCAGTCACAATTTACTTAATTATTTTATCGCAGTCTCTATTGTTCATTATTGATGCATCATATCATTGTTGTTTGGGCTAATTTTCATGATTTCTGAGAGCCCGAGAGATTGGAGAGATTTATGACTGAGCAAAGTCGAGGGATTGATTGTGAGATATATTATTACAGCACGTGAGTTATCCATGCAGATCCTTATATTATACTATAGCACGTGAGTTGGCCGTGCAGTACGTGAGTTGGCCGTGCGGATCCTTATATTATACTATAGCACGTGAGTTGGCCGTACAGATCTAGATATTTATATTATGGCACGTGAGTTATCCGTGCAACACGTGAGTTGTCCGTGCAGATTATAGCGCTTGCGCTATAGGAGCCCCTCCGGAGTCTGTACACCCCCAGGGAGCGCGAGTACCCATTGAGTGTGAGTGCTGAGGGCTGAGAGCCGAGTGGTTGAGCCGTTGTGATGAGTTGAGTGACTATTGCCTGAGAGGCTGTACTTGC